GGTGGTGGATGCCCCATCCCTGGAAACATTCCAGGTCAGGTTGGAGGGGGCTCTGAGCAACCTGCTCTAGTTGCAGATGTCCCTGCCCACGGCAGGGGGGTTGGACTAGATGACCTTTAGAGGTCCCTTCCAACCCAAACTATTCTATGATTCCTCACATAAAATTTATATCCTGCACCCATTTAGTTGAGAAGCTCTAGGTTGGTTTTTTTTTTGGCAATAAATGGTGTTTGGCAAAAGGCTGCCTTGTGCCTAGGAAACACCTTTTCCTGCTCCTCTGAAACACCCGCTAAACATTCCCAAAATTACAAGCCTTTGGGAAATCTAAGTTGGTGTATGCTCCATGGAAATTTTTAGCTTAGTAGTAAACTTGCAAAGACCCCATCAATACTGAACGCGCTCTGGCTCAGGGACATGGGGACTGAGCAACTGAGCAGAACCTTCCTGTAATTGCTCTCACCAGAGGCTGCGGCCACTGTTGTGCTCAGTTACATTAGAGAAGGGAGGCTTTTGCCTTTGATCTTAGTGCTCAATCTGGTAAGTTAAACAGTGTCAAGACCTTGAAGCCAGCTGGCAGAGTCCAGACGTAGCCATACTGTTAAATTCTTACAGATGTAAAAAAAAAAAAAGGTGGTCACATCTAAATTTGCTATTGGCAATTGTCCCTTGCCCAAACTAACAGTCTAGGCAGCCAAGTTCCAGCTCCCAGGCTCCAACTGCTGCTTGGCTTAATGGTACAGATGTAGCTTTAACAGCGCAGCAGTTGCAAGAGAAAGCCGCTAGGCTGAATACAAGAGGGGCAAGGGTGAGATCTGGGATGGAGCAGTAATAAAGCAATTCTGGGATCAGGAGAGGAGGAATGAAAGTGAGAGGGATGCAAAGGGACTCCAGGGCTGGGAGCAAGAAGGGAACAAAGGAGAGTTTAGGAAGGGAGAAAGGAGGGAGCCTGAAATTATAACAAAAGCAAGGAAAATCGCTTGCAATTAAGCAGGACATCATTTTCCAAATTAAAGAGATGCAAGAGGCAACATGGGGTAAGTGACACTGCATACAGTTGTGTCAGCCACTACATTCAACTATGCTAACTGCAATTAAATAAATCAAGAGACCCAAATAGTTTTGGAAAAGTGTTGACACAGAAAGAACTCCTTACATTTTAATGCCACATTGTTCAACTGTCTTGTAAAGAGAGTTAAAAGGCACTTACCATTCGCATCCAGGTTGGTATAAAGCCTTTGTATAGAGACATAAACCCTTCACCCTGTACAGTTTGAATCAAGCAGTCCATGGAAGACTTATACAGCAGACCTCTGGCAACGTGCAAGGAGAACAAATACTGTTAGGATTACAAATAGGCAATTTAAAAAATTCCACCCCCCCCCCAAATCATCTGTACCAGATAAATTTGTACAAGCAAGAGCTCTTTTGTAAGCTCACTGGAGTCTCATCAGAACTGAAATCCACTAAGTAACTGGGTATGCTTAGGTGGCCATCGCAACAAACCCCCTGGACACACAAAACTAAAACAATAAAATGATCATCAGAAAGATGAAGAGCAAATCAGAGACTTAGCACTTCACTCCCAGTGAAATCTCACTCCCAGTGAAATCAGTGAGACTCAGGGTTTCAATTTTCTACTGAAAAGTCGGTCTCTGAAGTGTCTGTACCTTCCCTGCTTATCTCTCGGCTGATTCATTATCCGGGTTTTGACAACATCAGCAGGAGTTCCCAGAACAGCAGCTACCAGGCCAGAACAGCAACT